GGGGGGCGAAGCTAGGCCCGGGCGACCCGCTTCTCGCCCTCCCCGCCTCTACCAGCGTAACGGGGAAAACGGGGGGCTGCTGCCCTGCGCCTGGGGCTCTCCCACAGCGGGCTTGGCCCGCCGGTGGCGGTTTGACCGCCTGGCGCTGGGGGCCGTTGTTCGTCCCGTTCCGCCCCTCAGACGCCTCCTCCTGTTTTCTTCTTCATGGGCGAACCGCTGAAGGCGCCGATCCCGCCCCGGTCATGCTGGTGAGCAAGAGGGTGAAGCGCCTCTTGCAGCTGGTGCCTGGGAAGCAGCGCTTCGGGGTTTACAGGTTCCTGCCCTTCTTCTTCCTCCTCGGGGGAGCGATGGAGTGGTTCATGATCAACGTCCGCATCGGCAAGGAGACCTTCTGTGAGTGAGGGCTGACCCCCGGTGCGGGGGCCGAGGGGAGGCCCGCTGCCTGCTGAGTCACCGCTGCCCCCCGCATCCCCCCCCCAGCCCCCCCCGGTCTGATCCGGTACCGGGTGCCACAGCTCCTGCTAGCGGTGAACGTCGAGGGAGGCGGTTCACCTCAACAAGTTGTTAGCAGGGTCTGGTGTGTGTGGGGGGTGCTCAGCTGGAGGATTTTAAAGATAATCACCCCCCAGCACCCCCCGGTCTGATCCGGTACCGGGTGCCACAGCTCCTGCTAGCGGTGAACGTCGAGGGAGGCGGTTCACCTCAACAAGTTGTTAGCAGGGTCTGGTGTGTGTGGGGGGTGCTCAGCTGGAGGATTTTAAAGATAATCAGTAAGTCAGGCACTTCTCCCTGTAGCGCAGGGTGTGACACTCCAGGTTCTGCCTCCCTAGCACAAGGCACTGGGCAGAAACGAACAAAACAACTGGGTTTAGAATACTAAATTTTTTTTTCTTTCCACGTTGAAGAAGACTCACCAGGGTTATCGGAATTTAAGTGTAGGTGTGGGTTCATCTGAAACGTGACTTTTTTTAATTGAAAAAGAAGTATGAATACGAGTTGTGAGAACTTAGTTAATGGCACTCAGTTTCTAGAAGTTAAAGCATTTTCCCTTTAAGAAACCATCCCTGGAGGTGTTCAAGGCCAGGTTGGATGGGGCTTCCAGCAACCTGGTCTAGTGGAAGGTGTCCCTTCCCATGGCAGGGAGTGTGGAACTAGATGATTCCTTCCAACTAGAAGGTCCCTTCCAACACAGACATTTCTATGATTCTAAACCTTGCTAGAAATTTTTGTGTACTTCTGAAATCAGCTCTATTGTGTGTTATATGAGAATATTCTCATTTTCATGGGAAATCTAGTTGAGTCTCCTGCAGAATAAAACAAGTTGATACAATTTCCATAGCTGACAAACTCACTGCAAACAAAACTGCTGCTTTGCTCACTTCTGAAGGCTTGGGTTTGTTGTGGTTTTTTTCAGTTTAATATTTTGGAGGCGTACCTGTATAGTAATAAAGTCAGGTTAGAAACTAAAGCACATCTGTGTAGCAGCAGTTACATTTCAGCTCAAGCCTTACGTTCCTGCCAAAAAAAATATTGCTATGCCTAAAGGATACTGTACTACAGTAATAATTGTCCAGTTTAGCCTTATTACTGCTCCATAATCCAAGCAAAGTGATAATGTGCAAGACTGATAACCTCTCTTTTTTTTGTCAGTAGGAGATTTTATTTGGTGATGGATATTTAGGGGTGATCATGGTGAGGGGAGGCAGGAAGAACAACTAGGAAGACTATGAAGGTGGCTATATTCCTGTGTTTTGTTTAAAAAAAAAAAAAAAAAAAAAAAAGCTAAAATACTGAAGCAATGCTGGCAGTCCTCAGGCATTGACTTTGTGCCTATAATTTCATTTCCCTTTGGCTTCAGCCACTTTGGGCATTTGTGTTTTTAATTACCCTCATGGGAAGGTAGACCAGAAATGACTGCATCACACTGGAAACTTAATTTTCGTATGAAAACATTTTATCAGGACTGATGGGAAGAACTTTAGCCTGGATGGGAGGGAGAACATGAGCTATTTTTAAGTGGTAATAAGGATTTGTGTTGGCTTTAATTTTCAGTTGCCTGTCAGTCAGTGTCTGCAAAATAAAACTAGATTGAAAAGTTTAAAAAATCATGACAGGCTTCATACATTTAATAGTACCTTGCACTTGGAAAACGCTAACATAAAAAAATTTTTTTTTGGCAGATGATGTTTACCGTAGGAAACGATCTGAAAGACAGTACGAGGCAAGGATGGAAAAAAATGAATTTTAGCTGAAATATTTCAAGGCGAAGGTCCTCAATGCTTCGACTCTATTAATACCAAAGAAGCATTACTGCCATGTTGATGGTAGGGGAAGATTTTTGTCTCTACAAGATGAACTGTAATCCACAAATTTGTGTAATACATTCTCAGACGGTTTTGGCAGTTTTATTCTTCCATCTACTTCATATCTTTAATATTTTTTATTTAAGTCAAATACAGTAGTGAAGAGTTCATTGTGTTTAGGCCTCTGCCACTTATTTGATGTTTGTTTAGTACTTTTAAATAAACTGAACTGAATAAACAGAGTCTGGCGACCTCTTTGCTTGATGAGAAACCACTCTTGTGAAAGAAATGTTACATATTGCATACATAGTATCTCAGCACAATGGAAATAGTTTCCTTTGTACTGATAAAACTGCTCTGGAATTGG